GTAATGTGACTGATATTTAAATGAGAACAAAATTGCTTGAAGGCTAAACTGGTATATCCAGGGCCGTTATCTGTTAATAGTCTTGGGTTGGGGTAGGGCCGTTAGGCAGGAAAGAACATGACTTATGACATTTTTGGTGGCCTTGCCCACCTGGACAACACAATAGGGGGATGGGCTACGGAGCTAGTAGCAGGGGGTATCTGTGGGGGAAGTTTGCCCATAGTGCCCTTATTGGGATGTAACTCTGGGTTGGGTCCAATGGCTACCTTCTCGGTGAAAGGAAGGTTTTTTAGCAACTGGATCTTAAAGGTAAGGCCAATGTCACAGCCTGAAATATAGAGTCGAAGTCCCCATTGGGCACCTCTCCCTTGCCAAAGGGAGGATGCTTTCCCCTTATCGGTAAAGGTAATTTGTATGGGGTTACACCAATGGGATCCACAGCGGGAGTTAAAGTGGGCTGGTCCTGAATTAGGTTGTTGGAACAGGGGTCTAGTTTCATTCTCAAATCCACTCTGTGAGACCCAGGACAGACGTATAGAGGTGCCTTTGAAAGGTAAGTTCTAGAGAACAGATTATAGCAATTAGGGGTGGTTGCATACCTAGTGGAGGTATTAACAGGTCTAGGTTGTGGCATAAAATGGGAGGGAGTTTTCCAGAGAGGGTCGACTCCCATAGCCAAGGCACAAAGATCTACTATCGGGGGGAATAAGAAGGCTGAGGTCCAATGTACGTAGAGGCATTGGCAACGTCACCGGCTTGATTGATGATCACCCAGGTGTAGTTGTAGATCTGATAAGGGCTTGCTGCAGCGGCAATCCAAGGTGGGAAACACACAAGTAGCCAGAAAGACAGCATTTTTTATCTAAAATTAAACAGAATTAGAAGATTTCTCAGGGGCTTCCCTGGGTGGATTATATAGTTTTAAAAGGCGTTCAGGCAACCATCTAGCATTATTGGCCTGAGTATCAAAAATACATGTATGTCCTTTTCCCCAAATGAGGACCGGATCTGGTCCGTGCCATTTGTGAGTTAGGGGATCTTTCCATAAGGCTTGAGCATAATTTTGAGCCGTTGATGGATGCCAGAGGTGATCCATCTTTCCATAAGGCTTGAGCATAATTTTGAGCCGTTGATGGATGCCAGAGGCGATCCGCGGCTGATTTTCCTGTAGCATCATATGTGAGAAAATTTAGCACAAACAATGCATGATTGAGTAGGTTCTTATGATTGCCTTTAGTGGGGTATAAAATTCATCCTCCCGAATATAGTTTAAATAGCATGTTTTTAAGTGTTTGGTGAGCTCTTTCAACAATCCCATGGCCCTGGGGGTTGTAGGGAATACCGGTAATGTGACTGATATTTAAATGAGAACAAAATTGCTTGAAGGCTAGACTGGTATATCCAGGGCCGTTATCTGTTTTAATAGTCTTGGGTTGGGGTAGGGCCGTTAGGCAGGAAAGAACATGACTTATGACATTTTTGGTGGCCTTGCCCACCTGGACCGTGGCATAAATGAAACCACTGTAAGTGTCAATAGTCACATGTATATATTTTAATTTCCCAAACTGGGAGAAGTGGGTGACATCCATTTGCCAAAGTTGTCCAGGGAGCAGACCTCGGGGATTAACCCCAAGGTGGGGCTCCGGCAGGAGAGTAAAACAGCCTTTGCAAGAGCGGACTATCTCTCTAGCTTGTTCTCAAGTAATGCCAAACTGAAGGCGTAGGGTATGGTCATTGAGACGATGAATGGCATGGGCTTTTGGGCTAAGGATACGGGGTCAGAAAGAGGGGGGCCTGTTTGAGCCAAGGTAATTATTTAGGTAACTTGATCAACAGCATCATTTGCCCAAGAAAGAGGCCCAGGCAACCGGAATGTGCTCGAATGTGACCAATAAAGAAAGGGGAGGTTTGGGTTAAAATCAGGCGCTGGAGAGTTGAAAAGAATTTTTTTTTCAGTGTTTTTCCTTACTTTTTTCATTCGTTCTTTTCTTTTTTTCATTTATTCTTTTCTTATATATTACAACCTGACTACAGTTTCCCCTCCCTCCCCGTCCCCTGTTTCTCCCCCACCTCTCTTCTCCCCCTCCTTCACCCCCACCCCTGCCACCTCTGCTCAGAACAGTTACAAATATGGCATAACAAGCCACAGTAAGACCAGGCATATAGTCTCACAACAAGGCTGGATGAGGAAACCCGGTAGGAGGGAGAGGATCTCAAAGACAGGCAAAAGAGCCAGAGACTCCTCAGCTCCCACTGTTAGGAATTCCACAAGAGCACCAAGATACTCAGTCATAGCATATATGCAGAGGTCCTAGGTCAGACCCCTACAGGCTCCCTGCTCTCTGTGAGACCTCTTGAGTCCCTCAGTTGATTCTGTGCTCTGCTCATGGTGGCCCTGACCCCTCTGCTTCCTGCAGTCCTTCCTCCCCCTCCTCCCCTGGACTCCCAGGGCTCCTGTTAATGTTTGGCTGTGGGACTCTACATTTTCTCCCTTCAGTTGCTGGATGAAGTTTCTCTAGTCTCTGATGACAATTCTGCTAGGCTTTGGTCCCAGAACACTCTGCAGGCAGGTTAAACTGGAGGACAAAGGCTTTGTGGCTGGGTTGGTGTCCCAGTCCCACCTAGACTCCATGGAGTTTCCATTACACTAGGTTTCTGCTTTGCTCCTGAAATGCCCCCCAAATCCAGTCGTCTCCCCCAGTATTCTCTCCCTCCATCTGATCCCTCCTATTCCCAACCCCACCTGCAAAATCTATGCTATTTTTGCTTCCTGGTGAGACCCTTGAGTCTCCTATTAAGACTTCCTCTCTGGATATGTGGATTGTAGCATGATTATTCTTTACTTGACAGCTAATATCCACTTATAAGTGAGTGCATACCTTTGTTTGTCCTTTGGGGGCTGGGTTAGGTTACCTCACTCAGGATGATTTTTTTTCTAGTTATATCCATTTGCCTGCAAATTTCATGATGTCATTTTTTTAACAGCTGAGTAACACTCCATTATGTAAACATATCACAGTTTTTAAAAATCCATTTTTTAGTTGAGGGACATCTGTATCATTTTTAGTCTATGGCTATTGTGAATAAAGCTGCTATAAACATAGTTGAGCAAGTGTCTTTGTGGTTAGGATGGAGCATCCTTTAGATATATGCCCAGGAGTGCTGTGGCTTGGTTTTAAGGTAGATTGATTCCTCGTTTTCTGAGAAACTGCCATAATGATCTCCAAAGTAGCTGGACAAGTTTGCACTCCCACCAGCAATAGCAGAGTACAGCATCTCCTCCACATTTTCCATATCCTCACCAGCATTAACTGCCACTTACATTTTTTATCTTAGCCATTCTGACTGATATAAGATGGAATCTCAGAGTTGTTTTGATTTGCATTTCCCTGATGGCTAAGAATGTTGAACATTTCTTTGAGTGTTCCTCAGTCATTTGAGATCCCTCTGTTGAAAATTCTGTTTAGATCTGTACCCCGTTTTTTTAATTAGATTGTTTAGTTTGTTGATGCCTAGTTTCTTGAGTCCTTTATATATTTTGGATAATAGTGCTCTGTCAAATGTGGGGTTAGTGAAGATTTTTTCACTTTCTTTGGGATTCTGCTTTGTCCTATTGACAGTGTCCTTTGTCTTACAGAAGCTTTGCAGTTTCATGAGATCCCATTTATTAATTGTTGATCTTAGTGCCTCTGGGATTGGTGTTCCATTCAGGAAGCTGTCTCCTGTGTTCAAGCCTATTCCCCACTTTTTCTTCTATCAAGTTCAGTGTATCTGGTTTCATGCTTAGGTCTTTGATTCATTTGAACTTGAGTTTTGTATACGGTGGTATATATGGATCTGTTTGCATTCTTCTACGTGCTGACATCCAGTTAGACCAGCTCCATTTGTTGGAGATGCTTTCGGTTTTTCAAGTGTGTATTTCTGGCTTCTTTATCAAACATCAGGTGTCCATAAGTGTGTGAATTTACATCTGGATCTTCAAACTTATTCCATTGATCAACTTGTCTGTTTTTATGGCAATACCGTGTGGTTTTATTACTACTACTCTGTAGTACATCTTGAAATCAGGGATGGTGATACCTCCTGATGTTCTTTTATTGCATAGATGTGTTTTAGCTAACCTGGGTTTTTTGTTTTGTTGTTTTGTTTTTCCATATGAAGTTGAGTACTGTTCTTTCAATGCCTGTTAAGTATTGTGTTGGAATTTTGATGGGGATTACCTTGAATCTAAAGATTGCTTTTGGTAACATGGCCATTTTTGTTATGTTGATCCTACCAATCCATAAGCATAGAAGATCTTTCCATCTTAGATATCTTCTTCAGTTTCCTTCTTCAAAGACTTCTAGTCCTTAGTTAGAGTTACCCCAAGACATTTTATATTATTTGTGGCTATTATAAAGGTGTTGTTTCCCTGGTTTCTTTCTCATCCCTTAGAATATTCTTGTATCCAGCAACATTACTGAAGGTGTTTATCAGCTGTAGGAGTGCCCTGGTAGAATTTTTGGAGTTGCTTATGTATACTATCATATCATCTGCAAATAGCAATACTCTGACTTCTTCCTTTCCAATCTGTATCCCCTTGATCTCCTTTAGTTGTCTTATCGCTCTAACTAGGACTTCATGCACTATATTGAATAGGTATGGAGAAAGTGGACAACCTTGTCTTGTTCCTGGCTTTAGTGGAATCGCTTTGAGTTTCTTTCCATTTAATTTGATGTTGGTTATAGGTTTGCTGTAAATTACCTTTATTATTTTTAAGTATGTCCCTTGCATCCATTATCTCCAGGACCTTTATCATGAAGGGCTGCTAGATTTTGTCAAAGGTTATTTGAGCATCTAATGAGATGATCATTTTCTTTTAGTTTGTTTATTGTTTGTTTCTCTGTGTAGCTTTGGAGACTATTCTGGCACTTGCTCTGTAGACCAGGCTGGTCTCAAACTCACAGAGATCCGCCTGCCTCTGCCTCCTGAGTTCTTTTAGTTTGTTTATATGATGGGGTCTATTGACCAATTTTCATATTCTGAACCATCCCTGCATCTCTGGGATGAAGCTTACTTGATCATGGTGGATGATATTTTTGATGTGTTCTTGGATTCAGTTTGCAACTATTTTATTGAGTATTCCCTCATCAATGTTCATGAGGGAAATTTGTAATTCTCTTTCTTTGTTAAATCAGTGTGGTTTGGATGTCAGGATGACTGTGGCCTCATAAAATTAATTTGGTGGGCTGGAGAGATGGCTCAGTGGTTAAGAGCACTAGCTGCTCTTCCAGAGGGCCCAGGTTCAATTCCCAGCACCCACATGGCAGCTCACAACTATCTGTAACTCCAATTCCAGTGGATCTGATACCTTCATACCAATGCACATAAAATAAAGTTAAATAAAATTAATTTGACAGTGTTCCTTCCATTTCTATTTTGTGGAATAATTTGAGGAGTGTTGGTGTTAACTATTCTTTGAAAGTCTGGTAGAATTTCATGCTGAAATCATCTGACCTTGAACTTTTTTTTTTTTTTTTTGGTTAGAAGATTTTTAATGACACCTTCTATTTCCTTAAGGGTTGTAGGTCTATTTAAGTTGTTTATTGAATCTTGATTTAACTTTGGTAAGTGCTATCTATCAAGAAAATTGTCCATTTATTTTGGATTTTCCAATTTTGTGGGAGTACAGGTTTTTGAAGTATGACCTAATGATTCTTTGGATCTCCCCAGTGTCTATTGTTATGTCCTCCTTTTTGTTTCTGATTCTGTTAATTTGCATATTCTCTCTGTGTCTTTTAGTTAGTTTGGATAAGAGTTTGTCTATCTTGTTGATTTCCTCAAAGGACCAACTCTTTCTTTCACTGATTCTTTATATTGTTCTCTTTGTCTATTTGATTGACTTCAACCCTCATTTCCTCCCATCTGCTACTCTTGGGTGAATTTGCTTCTTTCTGTTCTAGAGCTAGTATGAGATCTCTCCAATTTCTTTATGAAGGCACTTAGTGCTATGAACTTTGCTCTTAGCACAGCTTTCATTGTGTCCCATAAGTTTGGATATGCTGTGCATTAATTTTCATTGAATTCTAGAAAGTCTTTCATTTCTTTCTTTATTTTTACCTTGACCCAGTAGTCATTCAGTATAGAGCTGTCCAGTTTATGTGAATTTGTAGGCGTTCTGTTGTTTCTGTTGTTGTTGAAATCCAGCTTTAACTCATGGTGGTCTGAGGGGATAAGGGGTTTTTCTTGTGTCTGTTGAGACTTGCTTTGTGACCAAGTATGTGGTCAGTTTTGGGAAATGTTCCATGAAGTCCTGAGAAGAAGGTATATTCTTTTGTGTTTGGGTGAAAAGTTCTATAGATACCTGTTAGGTCCATTTGGTTCATACCGTCTGTTAGTATCATTATTTCTCTGTTTGGTTTTTGTCTGAATGACTTGTCCATTGGTGAGAATCAGGTATTGAAGTCTCCCACTATCAATGTGTGATTTGAGTATTAGTGGTATTTCTTTTAAAATGTGGGTGCCCTTGCACTTGGGACATAGATGTTCAGAATCTTGGTGGATTTTTCCTTTGATAAGTATGAAATGTCTTTCTCCATCTCTTTGATTAATTTTGGTTGTAAGTCTATTTTGTCAGATAGTAGAATAGCTACACCAGCTTGTTTCTTGGGGCCATTGTCTTAGAAGATCTTTTCCAACCTTTTGATTTGAGATAATGTCTATCTTTGATGTTGAGGTATGTTTCTTGTATGCAGCAGAAGGATGTAGTCCTTTTGTTAGTCTGTGGTCCTTCAGTTAGTCTGTAGTCCTTCTGTTAGTCTATATCTTTTTATGGCAGAATTGAGTCCATTGATATTGAGAGATATCAATGATCAAAGGTTAATAATCCTTTTATTTTGTTGTAGTTGGTATATTGTGTGTGTGTGTGTGTGTGTGTGTGTGTGTGTGTGTGTGTCTGTTTGTGTTCCTTCTTTGGGTTTTACTGGTATGAGATTATCTATTTTTTGGATATCTGTGTTTTTTGGATGTAGTTGGTTGGAGTTTTCCTGCTAGTACTTTCTGTGGGGCTGGATTTGTGGATAGATTTTTTTTTAATTTCACTGTATTATGGAATATCTTGTTTTTTCTATCTATGATGATTGAAAGTTTTTCTGGGAATTATAGTCTTGGCTGGCATCTATTATCTCTTAGAGTCTACTGCACATCTGTCCAGGCCTTTCTGGCTTTTTGAGTCTCCATTGAGAAGTCGTGTGTAATTCTAGTAGGTCTTCCTTTATCTGTTACTTCCTTGGTCTTTTTCTGTTGTAGCTTTTAATATCCTTTCTTTGTTCTCTCTGTTTAGTGTTTTGATTATGATGTGTTGAGGGGACTTTCTTTTCTAGTCCAATCTATTTAGTGTTCTATAAGCTTCTAGTACCTATATAGACATTTCCTTCTTTAAGTTAGGAAATTTTTCTTCTATGATTTTGCTAAAAGTATTTTCTGGATCTTTGAACTGGGATACTTCTTTTATTCCTGTTATTCTTAGGTTTGGTCTTTTCACGGTGTCCCCAGTTTCCTAGATGTTTTGTGTTTGAAATTTTTTAGATTTAACCTTTTCCTTGACTGCTGTATTTATTTCTTCTGTTTATCTTCCAGGCCTGAGATTCTCTCTCCCATCTCTTCTATTCTGTTTGCTTGTATCTGCAGTTCCTTACCTTGATTTCCTATTTCCAGAATTCCCTCAGTTTGTGTTTTCTTTATTGCTTCTATTTCCAATTTCAGATCTTGAACAGTTTTATTCATTTTATTCAACTGTATGTTTTTTTTCTTGGATTTCATAACATTCTTTAAGAAATATATTCGGGGTTTCTGTCTGGAGTTTGCCCCGCTGCCACTTAAAGCCCAGACTCAAGGCAGCCCATGGCCGAGCTTTGCCTTCTGTGGCTCTCAGGGATGCAGATGGGCAGAGGCGGATTAAGCACACGATGGCTTTCTTCAACCAAGAAGCCAATGAAAAAGCACAAGAGTTCAACATTGAGAAATGTCATCTTGTGCAAACCCAAAGACTGAAGTCTATGGAATACTATGAGAAGAAACAAAAGCAAATTGAGCAGCAGAAGAAGATTCAAATGTCCAATCGGATGAATCAAGCAAGGTTCCAAGTCCTTAGAGCAAGAGATGACCTCATCACTGATCTGCTAAATGAGGCAAAACAGCAAGGTGGTAAAAGACAGAACCAGATACCAAGTGCTGCTGGATGGGCTGGTCCCTCAAGGCTTGTACCACCTGTTAAAGCCTCTGTTGATTGTGCATTGCAGAAAATAAGATTTCCCTTTGGTGGAGGCTGCAGTACAAAAAGCAAATCCTATTTATAAAATTGCCACCGAAAAAGATGTTGATGTCCAAATTGACCAGGAGCCTACCTGGTGGAGTTGAAATCTATAATGGGGATCGCAAGATAAAGGTTTCTAACACTCTGGAAAGCTGGCTGGACCTCACAGCCCTACAGATGATGCAGAAGTCGCAGGAGCCTTGTTTGGTGCCAATGCCAATAGGAGGTTTCTGGACTGAGCCTGAGGAGGTGCTGCTCATCCGAGGCTGTACTCCTGGAGCAGCAGATACCTGTGTGGTTTCCTCATTCTGTTCTAACTGGTAATCAGTGGATCCCCTCTGCAGCCTGTGGCCTTGACCTAATGTCATAGAAGGAGGGCCACTTGGTGTGGGCAGGAACCCAGCCCCGGCTCATCTGACACCACAACTGTACACTGGTTCTGCAGCAGTACACGAGGGGTCAGATGGTGCTAAGGAGCCCTCACCAAGGACGCATCCTCCCTGCTCCTAGTCTAGTCTAGAGTGAGTGTGCATGCTGTCCCTACTCTCTGGGTGTCAAGTGCATGCGGGGCTTGCATTCCTCCAGCAACACTAGCTTCACTGTTACTATTTGGGTCTAGTTTTTCTTATCTGAAATGTGGTTTAAAATCTAAACCACAAATACTCTTTATTCATTAAAACAAAGGTTTATGTGAAAAAAAGAGATGTATTCATTTCTTCTTTAAGGACTTGTATCATCTTCATAAAGTTGGTTTTAAGGTCATTTTCTTGTGGTTCAGCTGTGTTGGAATATTCAGGGTTTACTGTAGTGGGATGGCTGGGCCCTGGTGGTGACATATTCCTATGGCTGTTGTTAATTACGTTCTTACACTGTGCTAGACATCTGTCTTTTGGTGATTATAGGTCTTGGTGCTGAATTTTTGGTTTGTCTTTGTTGGATGGGGCTTTTCTTCTTTGGTTTCTGTTTTCTCTCTGGTCTTCTGGCTAGGGTGGCCTGGGGTTCAGGGTGCTTGCCTATCCTTTGGTGGGATAGGAGGAGACTGTAGGCTTTTATTTTTGAACTTTGAAAGATTTTGTTGTTGTTAGAGCAGAGTATTCTGTTTCCATTTCTGTCATTGTTTGGGGCTCTTGATGGTTTCCTTGATTTCTTTCAGCATAGAAAAGCCAGGATGGTTGGCTTTGCTTAGACTGTAATACTGAAGCACCTCAGAGCACCACCTGGGCCAAGCACTGGTGACAGAAGTTGCAAAGACTCCCCTAGATAGAAGCCTCCAATCTACAGCATCTCCAATCTGCCCTTCTCCCCACTCCCTTCCCCTCCTGTCTCCAATCACAGGCCTCCTCTCCAACCTAAATTGCTGCTAAAAAATTGAACTTTTTATTTATGTAAATGGCAATATTCTGTGTTCTTGACTATACCATCCATATACATAACCAAGTAGTTTCTTAAAATTTTCTAGAATTATACATAGACCTGGGGATATGGCTCAGTTGATAGAATACTTTCTTGGTATACACAAAGTCCTGGATTCAATTTCCAACACCACATAAAACTGGGCATGGTGGTACATGTCTGTAATTCCAGCAATCAAAAACTGAAGGCAGGAAAATCAGAAGTAAGGTCATCCTCAGCTATATATAACGATATATATATATATATGTATATATATATGTGTGTGTATATATGTATGTGTATATATGTATATGTATATATGTATATATATGTATATATATGTGTGTATATATGTATATATATATAATATCATTATATACAATATCATTATATAATAGTATGATATATATATATATATATATATATATAGAGAGAGAGAGAGAGAGAGAGAGAGTTTGAGGCCAGCCTGAAATCCTGTCTCAAAAAAAAAAAATCTAGTAGATAGATTGGCTTTAGCTTAACAGTTCCTTCTACAACATAACAATTTGGAATCAAACTGCTGCTGGGTTGAGACCCACAGGCACTAACCAGCTCTTGAAAGAACTCCTAAGAAGTATGGGTCATAAATATTCAATGTAGGAAACGTTGGTGAAGTGGGTAGTGGTTATTGCAGAGGCTCATACTTGTCTCAGTGCTGAGACTAACTGACTATTGAGCTAAGCCCTACCATGCATCCAGAGCACATCTACAAGGCTCAGGGAGCCTAGCAGAGAAGAGAGAAACAGCAGAAGAGCCGAGGAAGGGGTGGCAGTGTGAGTGCTGGCCTCTCAACATGGCACCAAGTTCTAAAATGCTTCCTGTTGTTGTGATGAAACACTGACCAAAACAATGTGGGGGGGGGGGAGTTTATTTCCACTCTCAATTTATAGCCCATCCTTAAGAGAAGTTGTAGCAGGAATTCAAGGCAGTAACCTGGAGGGAGGAGCTGAAATGGAGCCATTAAGGAATGTTGTTTACTGGCTTGCTTTACTTATATTCACTATTTTTTACTAAAGAAAGTATGATAGGAGATGCTCATACTTTTAGAAAATACTTTGCCAAATATATTGAGACATTTTAAAGTTTTTGATCTGGTCTGCCTATTACAACTATTTTTCACAATTTTGACTCTAAACATGTACTATTGTTGGTGTTTTCTTTATTGCTGTGGGTTTTATGGTATGCAGAATCAAACCCAAGGCCTTGCCCAGGGAAGGCAGTCTCTCTACCACTAAGCTTCATCTTCATCCTTTCATTTTCCTAAGGTCTTATTGTGTCACTCAGGCTGGCCTTAGAAATTGAATCTGATTTGATTTGCTTTACTTTGATTTGGTTGTGCATGTATGATAGTAGCACATTCACACCATGGTGCATGAATAGACATGAGAGGACAACTGGTGGGAGCTGCTTTTCTCCTTTTACTATGTGGGTCCTAGTTTGACCTGTCACCAAGCTTGGTGATGAGACTTTTGCCCACAGGATTATAAATCCTGCGCTGCCGTGAAAGTCTTCGTCCTCTTCTGTGTACCCCAGCACTCCCATTACAGGTGTGTGCCACCAAATCTGGCTTTGTTCTATCGCTTATTGTGGTTGTCCTCTAGAAATACTGGGAACTGAACCAAGTGCCTCTTGTATGACAGACAAACAAACACTCCACCCCTGTCATACAGCCTCAGCCCTTCGAGTTGCTGTTTTTTATGCTACCAAAGAATGAGCCGATTCCTAGAAATTCTACTCTAGCTCAGACAGATAAATGTAAATACCAACTGAAAAACCAACATTGGAATAATCATAGAAGAATTAAGTCAGACTGTCTACAGAAATGTCTCATAACACTTGGTTAATGAGTGAAGAAATATTGAAAAGCCAAACAGTAGGGAGCGTTAAAACTCTGAATTTTGGAGTCTTTGGAGCTCAGACAGGCTGGAATGCCAGGCAAAGGCCAGGAGGAGAAGGGGATTCAGAAATGGTAGGTGGCATTTGTCAGAAGCAATCATGTTGGCTAGACCAGTTCATGACAAGTCCAAGGCTGGCCTGACTCTGCAGGGCCACCTGGGGCTGGTGTGGTGCAAGCTGTTTGGGAGTGGTTGCAGGTCACAGATAATTCCTGGATGGCATCCGTCAGCTCTATGGAAAACTGTCAAACAAAGACTAGGGACAGAAAGTAAAGTCTAGCAACTTTGGGGAATCTTTGTGCTGAGTGTACACTTGAGGCTTTCAGGGCTGTAACCCTGGTAGTTGTGGCTGTGGAAAGAACCTGGAGAAGGAAAGAGCCGAACTCTGGGATAGGCAGGGGGTGGAAAAACTCGGGTGGTTGACAGTTGACTGTGACAGATGAAGACAAGTCAGGACTCCCTGAAACTTACATGGATTTTTTAAACTTGACAAGAGATAAAAAGCTTTAGATATATTAGCATGACCACTGTCTGAATCTGCTCTGAATCCTTCACTGTAGAAAAGCAGTTAACAAAGTGTCTGTAAACAGCAGAAGGAAGAGAAGACTCACGCCTTGGAGCCATAGCAAAAAGAAATCCTAAAATGGTGTCAACTCGGGAGAGCATGTCTGGATATATATGGATTGGACAGAGGTATTTTCAGCACAGTGAGAAGCACTTTTTTGTTTGTTTGTTTGTTTGTTTGTTTGTTTTTCAAGACAGGGTTTCTCTGTGTAGCTTTGGAGCCTATCCTGGCACTCTCTCTGGAGACCAGGCTGGCCTCGAACTCACAGAGATCCACCTGCCTCTGCCTCCCGAGTGCTGGGATTAAAGGCATGCACCACCAAGGCCCAGCAAGAAGCGTTTTTAAGCCTATATTTAGAAAATAACCAAAGAAAATTCAAATCTATGAGCCTGTTACTATGATAATAGTAAACAGTATTTACCAAAGCCAGATTACTAGTTTATCAGAACTCCATTGATTATCGTTAAAACTCTGAAACCTTGCCAGGCAGTGGTGGTGCACACCTTTAGTTCCATCACTTGAGAGGCAGAGGCAGGCGGATCTCTGTGAGTTCAAGGCCAACCCAGTCTACAGAGGGAGTTTCGGAAGCCCTGTCTCAAAAAAACAAAAAAGAACAAAACAAAACAAAAATCTCTGAAACCTTACCATCATTTATGATCTTTTGGGTTTCAATTTTCGCATACCTTAAATCACTCCCTTAGATCCTCACAGTTTACACAAATTTTAACCCTTTTTTTTCATCTAATCACTTACCACGAGATGTAAGTACTTGATTACTAAGAGCAGTCATTGAAAAGCAAATTCTTTTAAATAAAAGAATAGTAAAAGGTGAGTTTTTAGTTAGTAATAGCAGCATGATAGCTTGAGTTTGTTTTTATATCAAGATCTGTTTTGTGAGCTTTTCTTTTTCTGTCTGTGAGTCTGCCTTTTTCAGCAGGAGACCTAGTGGCTCTAGAAAAAGCAAGGCCTGGTTTTTCTATATGATGTGAACTGACAGTGTGGCTGCAGCATTCGAGGGAGGAGCTGGCTAAGTCTGTTTGCTGCTGCTAAACTGATAAAGCCACAGCTCACTGTCAACACCACCACAGACATCTCAAACAGATACATTTGAACAGGAAGTACAGTCCAAATGGCTTCTGATCATTTAAAATGAAGAGACCCACCACCTGGACTACCAGCCTGGGATCTTCCATGGTGATTAGAGTAAGAATAACTTACTCTAATTAATCATCACTGTTGCTCTGTTGTTATTGTTTAGAATTTGAATGGTAGAAAAGCCATTACTAACCTTAAGTTTAATGTTTATCTTCTTTGACTCAGTTTGATAGTACCTATGTGGTCTTGCTCTATGATGAAAACAACAACAACAACAAAAAACCAAAATAGACACTTCTTTGGGAAAGTTGAGGTGACGGAGGTACTCCAAAGATTTGGGGGAGAGTAAACTGCAGTCAGGGTGTACTATGTATGTTTTGTTTTGCTTTGCTTTGTTTGAGAAGGGGTTTTTCCATATTTCCAGTTTGGGCAAGCCTGGTGGTGGGTGAGGCCTGGGACAGTTCTTTGGCCAGAGGTCCATGTCACCACCCTTGAAGCAAGCTCTGGATGGAGCCCATTGCTGCCCATCTTTGGAGGCAGCATCAGCTACTGCCATAGAAGCTGGTGTTACTGTCTCTACAGGGAAGCCTTTTTCATTAAACTCCATAATCAGCAGATCCCTCTGAAGAGTTAAAGGGCAAAAATCTAACCTACTAAATATTCTTGATTTTAAGCAAACTACTAGTTTTAACTAATTTCTAGTTACTTGCTTCAGGCTTAACCATGACAACATATACAGAAGGCTAAATCTTGTTCTGTGAATGAATTACATTTGTGCTTAACATGACTACAAGCACAGTTCTGAGAAATATTAAAGAATTTAATAATGTATAAGGTGACTGACCATTAACTTGTGTGCCTTAATTATCTTTAACAGTTACAAGTTAGTAGCTTCTATAAAATTAGGACTTTACAATTTAATCCCTGTTAAATTGAAGTCTTAAAAAATTGAATAGAAGGTTTAACTGAAGACCCTTTAGAAACCAAAATAAAACGTTAAAACTATAAACACAGTCTGCAGACAAACTGGGAACCTTACTTTTCTGATTCTTTAACAGTGTACTTTTACAGAATATCACAGTTTTTTTTTTTTGTATGACTCAGTTTATCTCAAGGAACTAAAGCTTAACAAAGTTTAGCAAAGACAAAGAGACTAAACATATATCTTCAAGTTAGTTTTCGCTAGCCCGAATAGACCTTAGGAATTTATAAACCTTATTTATCAAATCTACCTTATTCATCGAACATATGCTATCCCTTATCTAAAATCTTATAGAAGCCTGGTGTTGAATACAGCTAGAAAAGATATAAGAGGTTAGATAGCCACCTCTGTGTCAGTTTCTGTTAACCTAAGTAGACCTTAATCATCAAACACAGGCTGGTTTTAGATCCTAGTTTCCATAAACATTGTTCATGTTTTGTACTCATTTGTTTTTTGTTTTTTGGATTTTGGTTGTGTTTTGTTTTTACTTTCAGGACAAAAATCATCACATAAAAAATCTACTATCTTACAAATCCTGGGATACACAAAGTTTACACAATGATAGAGAGAAATGTCCCAAATCACAGAGAGAGATCCCTTTCCATGAGATGGGTGTCCAGTAGGGTGAGAGAAACTGCTTGGTGTACCAGTGAGATTGCTGTAGCAGCAGTAGGTGCCAGGAACTGACAGAGACAAAGCAGTTAGCTTCTAGTTGACATTTACCCATGCACCAGGAGAGAGCAGGGATAAGGAAAAGAGGTGGCTGAAGAGGTAGACTCTAAAATTTGGAGTCAAATGTAGTAGATGGCAGAAGCCAGCAGAAACAAATGACCTGCACCTTAGAAAAGTCAGACCAGCAGCTTGACTCGGTTAGGAGAAGCTGAGCCTTTTGGAAAGGTCCATTCATGCATCTCCTGAGTTTCCACACCAGATGGATAAACTGATGACATGACCTCTTCATGCTATGGTTAGGGTGAAGGTATTTTTGTTTTTGTTTGTTTAATTGTAGATAAGGGAGAGAAAACAGTCAGAGGCATCTTGAAGAGTCCAGAGCAGAGAAAGAAAGAAGTAGGCTGAACATGGCAGGCAGACTGGACACGGCTAGTGCTATCTTCGAGAGGGGAAAAGAGTGGGGGCTAGATAATGGAGAAACCATAATGAGAGAAGCAGAGCAGAGCATAGAGAGAACATAGTGAGGACACAGGGTTAGAAGGAGAATGAGTAGCTGTGGGGAGAAACCCATGAACTGTAGAGAATTTAGATGGGGAAGGAGAGAAGAGTTAGGATGATAACTCTTGGTTACACAGACATTGAAATTTGTTACAGATACTTGCCGTACTGAGGGAGCCTGGAGGTCAGAATGTGTTTTGATATATTGATAGGTGCCACAGGCAGCCATATTTTCCTTCGGCCCTAGATATGGGTAATTATTCCTTTTGGCAGATGGAAACCAGTTTCCCAAGTTCCTGAAGAATGCTGGCTTTTATATAACCACCAGAAATCCTCCTATAGTCCAGGTTCATCTCATTTCTGGATATTTGGACTGCCTTTTGGAGTTTGGGGAATCGGAGTTTCCTTTGGAACTGAAAAGAAACAACAATCAGCAATAAAAGAAGACAAAGCCACGATGCACAGATGTCTCAAAGTACTGTGTCACATGGAAGAGTCAAGACACATGAGCCTTCGTGGTGTTTGTTTCCATTTATATGGAATCCTCATGATTTTGAATAAAGTTATAATGACACAAAGCAGATCTGTAGTTTCTGAGGACTAGGAGACAGGAGGAAGATTGCAAGAAGTGTAAGTCAATAGGATTGTTCCAGACCCCCTGAAGGAAGAAGTCAGTTTGGAGGTCTGGACAATCTATAGGGTCACTGGTAGTGGATCAGTATTTACCCCTAGTACACAAATGAACTTTGGGAGCCTTCACCACATAGAGGGATACTCTCTCAGCCTAGACACACTGGGGAGGAGCTAAGCCCTGCTCCAAACGATATGAGAGACTTTGACGATCACCCATGAAAGGCCTCACCCTCCCTGGGGAGAAGAAAGTGGTTTGGATAGGAGGTCGGTGGGGGGCAGGGGAGGAGGAGAGGGAGAGGGAACTGAAATTGACATGTAAAAGAAGCTTGTTTCTTAGTTAACAAGGAGGACCCTAAGAGAGGCATACATGGTCCCGTGGAGAAGGGGAAAGGGTCAAGATCCCCTTAGCAAATTGAGAGCATGGGAAATGGGGGCAAGGAGCTAGGAGAATGAGAAGGGAAGAAGAGGAGGGATGCTGAGGACATGAGGGAGCAGAAAGGTTGAGTCAGGGGAAGAATAGAAGATAACAAGAATGGAGATACCATAATAGAGGGAGACATTTTAGGTTTACAGAGAAATCAGGCACTAGGGAAATGTCTGGAGAGCTACAAAGATGACGCCAGCTAACTATCTCAGCAACAGAGGAGAGGTTACCTTAAATGCCCTCCCTTGATTATGAGATTGATGACTGACTTATATGCCTTCATCTAGCAGCTGGTGGAAGTAGAAGCAGACACCCATAACTAATCACTGATCTGAACTGGAACCCAGATGCAGAGAAGGACCAGTGAAGGGCAAAGAGGTCCAAACCAGGCTGGTGAAACACACAGAAGCAGCTGACCTGAACATCCGGAACTCTTGCTCCCCAGTCTGATAGCTGGAATACCAGCATGGGACTGATCCAGACCCCAGGAACATGGGTTTCTGTGAGGAAACTTCAGAAATGTATGGGACCTCCTGTAGAAGCCCCGTATGTATTCCTAGCATAGGTGTGGACTTTGGGAACACATTCCATATAGAGGAATACTCCCTGAGCCAAGACACATGGGGGTGGGCCTAGGCCCTATTCCAAAGGATACGAAATACTCTGATGACACCTTATGGAAGGCCTCACCATCCAATGGGAGCAGAAAAGATATGTGACAGATAAGGTTTTAGTTGGGGGGGAATAAGGGAGGATAGGCGGGAGAAGGGAACTAGGATTGCCATGTAAAAAAATCCTGTTTCTAATTCAAATAAAAAAAGTTGGGAAAAAAAAACTTAACCGTAAAAAAAAGAAGCCTGTTTCTAATTTAAATAAATAAGGAAAATTAAATTAAATAAATTAATTCCAAAATAGAAGTATAAGTCATTGCTAGTGGGAGGATAAAAAGATGTTCTATATTACAATTATATTGTTAGTTACATATTATTCCTATTATCGACACTCAACAATTGTGCATTTACACTGATAAATCTTAACACGAGTGAACTATTTCAATAAAATTTAAAGATAGGGCTTTAGAGATGGCTCAGCAGCTTAGAGCATGCGCATACCGCCCTTTCTGAAGACCCACGTTCAGTTCTTAGCATCTAAGTCAGCAGCTCACAATCCTCTGTAACTCCAGCTCCAGGGGATCAAATGCCCTCTTCTGGCCTCTATGGGCACTGCACTTATGTGCCCTATACAGACACACACACACTTTAAAAAGTAAGAAAAACGGGAAATACCTTTGAATTAATTGGTACAGGAGACCGCTTCCTGAATATAACACCAGTAGCACAGACACTGAGATCAACAAATGATAAATGGGACCTCCTGAAACTGAGAAGCTTCTGTAAGACAAAGGGCACAGTCAGTAAGACAAAATGGCAGCCCACAGACTGGGAAAAGATATTCACCAACCCCACATCACTCAAGAAGCTAGTTTCCAAAACATCAAATAAAGCAATTAAAAAGTGGGGTAGACAACTAAAGAGAGAATTCTCAATAGAGGAGGCTAAAATGGCTGATAGACATTTAAGAAAATGTTCAACATTCTTAGCCATCAGAGAAATGCAAATCAAACAGCTATGAGATACCATCTTACTCCTTTCAGAATGGCTAAATTCAAAATCATCAAGGACAGTTTATGCAGGAGAGGATGTGGAGAAAGGGGAACATATTTTCCAGTGCTGGTTGGAGTGCCAACTCATATAGCCACTTTGGAAATCAGTTATGGCGATTCCTCAGGAAAATGGGAATCAGTCTACCACAAGATCCAGATTCCACTCTTAGGCATATACCCAAAAGAAGCACATTCATATAACAAGGACATCTGTTCAACCATGTTCATAGCAGCAAAAAAAAAATGGAATCTTGAAATTTGCAGGAAAATGGATGGAACTCGAAGAAACCATTCTGAGCGAGGTAACCCAATCACAAAAAGACAAACATGATATGTACTCACTCATATGTGGATTTTAAACACAGAGTAAGGGATTACCAGCCTACAATTCACACTGCCAGAGAAACTAGTAAACAAGGAGGACCCTAAAAGAGACAAACTTTGTCCCCTGGAGAAGGGGAAAGGGTCACGATCCCCTGAGCAAATTGAGAACATGGGAAGAGGGGGGAGGGAGCTACGAGAATGAGAAGGGAAGAAGAGGAAGGTTGCAGAGGTCATGAGGAAGCAGAAAGGTTGAGTCAGGTGTAGATTAGAAGAAAGGGTATGTGATAGGTAGGGTTTTAGTTGGGGGGTGGTAGGGGAGGACGGGAGGGAGAAGAGAACTGGGATTGTCATGTAATTCAATCGTGTTTGTAACTAAATAAAAAAAAAAAGAAAAAAGTAAGAAAAACAAAAACCTAAAAAATATGCATATATAAAGTACAATAAATTCAAGCACTTTTAAGTCCCTGATCAATCCTGTACTGTTTGTAAACTAACAGTTAATCTTGTGGCCATATGATGGTGATGTGTAGGGAACTCTAATCAGAATGTGAGTGACAGATTGTGTAAATGCTGCCCACTGTGTAAGTGCTATGTCACTATGGCATAGGAAGGCAGGAAAAATTCTATCCAGCTGTCACACTCTGGATTCCCTGGTTCTCATTTCTCTGCTCTACATTTTCCCATCTGTTAAAGAAAGATTGGGGTAATCCAGCTGCAGAATCCTATTGTCCTTCAGTTCATTTAGTTCCTAAAATAAACAAACCTTATCCAATATACACTGTATATGCAAAGGGGCTTAGTAAAGAAACTGCCAACATGTCCGTTCCATGGTATAGTTAAGGGAAAGTCTTTTGTGCATAAAAGAGAGAACACATCCAGAGACATCTGGAAGAGTCCAAAGCAAAGAGAAAGAGAAACACAATGGACATGACCAGGGCTGTCTGGGAGAAGGGGAGAACAGCAAGAGATAGAGAGAGAGTAGGAGAGAGAACAGTGATAATAGCAGGGCAGGGGATAAACCTTGCTGTTATAAAGAAAACACGTGACTATCTAGGAAGAGGGAAGCCTGGGGTGGCTACTGTGGACTTTGAAATACACCGCAAGCACTTGTGAATTGGAGACAAGGAAGCCTGGATGCCAGCATGGGCTTTGAATGCAGCCACAGTATCTGTCAATTGAGCCACGTGTCCCTGTAGCCAGAGATAAGAGGAATGACTTCTTTTGGCAGCTGGGAACTACTTCACAAGCTCTTGAGGAATGCTGGCTTTTAGCCAACTGCCAGACAGAAATCCATCTGTTGTCCTGATTGAGTTGGGCCTAGACTCAGATTTGGACCCATCCATGGGCCTGTCCTTTTATTGGGAGGGCGGGGAGTGGACCTGACTCCTACTTAAAGACCAGTAAATCCTCACCATGTCAAAGTAGTAGACTGTGCTGAGAACCTTCCAACTGTAACACTAATGGAAGAGGCAAGTACGTAATTCAGATGACTGTTGTTTACAAATAGTTTGGTGAACTGGGAAGAAAGTCCCACTGGGAATTCTGTTTCTTCTTGATGTCTCTGTGTTTCTTGACTTGCCTGCAGGTTCTGCCACTGGCACGATTCTCAACTTGGAGTTATCTTGGTCAGATTATATCTCACGACCAGGAGACAACACTAGCGTGCTCCACTTCAAAAAGGGTGAGATGGAGAAGACCTGTCAGGTCTTTATGAAGAAGACTCCCTTTATAAAGAAGAGGAGTCCTTCAGCATTGTCCTGAGCCTGTCAACGGGAGGACAGCTGGGAGCCAAATTTTCCCCACTGCCGGGATAACAATCCTGGCTGACAGAGAGGATGGTAAATTCTCCTAATCTAAGCAATGGCTCAGCTCCTACTTGGCTCTCACAGCTGTAAGGTAAATTATACAATTTTAGATATCTCGCATGTAGCTCACATGTGGCCCTGGCTGGCCTCAAGCCAAAGATGGCCTTGAACTTCTGATCCTCCTGTCTCTACCTCCCAAGTGCGAAGATCATGGATGTAAGCCACCATGCCTGGCTCTATGCAGTGCTGGGGACAGAATCCAGAACTCTGTGTATGATGGGCAAACACTCTATCAACTGAGCCACTGTGCCAGCCCCCATTACCTCCATGTTCTGCTTCCTCCTAAGGCTATGCCATAGCTTTCCACATGTGGAGACTCCACCAACACCAAGGGCAAAATAGAATGCAGGAAGATTAAGACTGTACGTATGACTTCATTCTAAAAAGAAAAAGAAAACAGCGTAGCCAAAGGAGTTGTATAAGACTTGGAAGATCCTAAGTCAGGCATTTAAGTCCTCAATAACATAAGGAGTCTTAAAATGACATGGGGGTGGGTGGCTGTAGAGTTCTGTGTGCAGGCATCTGGTCCCCTTCCTGGGGTTCCTGAACTCTGGAGAGCCCAACTGAAACTCAGGACAGCACTTCACACTACTCCTCCCCATCCTCCAGCTCCTACATTCTTTTTTCTTTTCATTCTTTTTTTTTTTTTTTTATGGATATGGGTTTCTTGCCTGCATGGTTGTCTGGGCATCACATGAATACCTAGCATACTCAAAGGCCAGAAGAGAGCATCAGAGCCCCTGGAACTGAAGTTACAGACACTCGTGAGTCACCAACAGAGTGACTTCTGGGAATTGAACTCATATCCGCAGGAAGAGCAGCAGTCTGTTGTCTAAGCCATTTCTGCATTTCGCAAAAGCGAAGTTTCTTCCCTGTCTTTTTCTCTGTGCTGCCACCAGATGGTGCAGCCCACATTTAGGGTGGGTCTTCCTGCTTCTGATAATCTGATCTGGAAAATCCCTCACAGGCTGCCCAGGGCCTTCCTTCAGTTGATTCCAGATATGGTCTAGCTGACAAGCAAGAATAGCTATTATAATATCCATACAAAAACAACAACAACAACAACAACAATGCTTCCATGAAACATAAAGAATGACATTAAGAGAAGAAAAGAGTTGCGAGGAAGAGGAACCAGTTAAGGGTCAGGGAGTGCTTGCTTGTCCACTGCTTTTGAGGCCTTAAGCTTGCAGAACCACGCAGGTGTGTGGGTGAACACACACACACACACACACACACACACACAGACACACACACACGCATAATATTCCTCCCTATTAGCCGTCACGTTTAAATGCAAATGGATTGAATTCCTAAGATAACAGTGACCGACTGAGTGGATTTAGAAAGAAAAGAGCCACATATGCTATCTGTAAGTAACTTGTTGTACATAAGTACTCACAGAGGCTGAAAGTGAAGGATAGAAAAGGATACTCTGTGCAAATAGCAGTCCACACAGAGCAGGTGACTTACTTAAATGGGACAAAATGAACATGTTAGCAACTGATGCTAAGATGAAGAAGCTGCACATGGTACAATGTCTTTACATCAGGAGGTTACAGCAATTACACATGACCTCAACACTAGAGCTGATTATATTAAGGAAATAAGAACCAGAGTGAGAAATGGGCACAAATAATAATAATAATAATAATAATAATAATAATAATAACAACAATAATAGATTTCAATCCCTACAACCCTCTCTTGAGGTCCAGTCTTGCTCTGCCCGAGAGACCTCAGTGCAGGAGATAAGCGATTGGCCACTTTTATGAACAAACAAATGAGAAGACTGTTTTGGGATTGTGCAGTCTTTCCAGAGTCTAGCTAGGCAAAAGGAGGGTTCCCATAGATTCACAGCAGACATTAGCTGTCTGGTCCAGATGCGCCATCTAGAGGCTAGGACAGTCTCAGGAGTGGATATCACCCAATGCTTAGGGGTTTAAGAAGGACTGATAACTGTGCAATCAAAATGATGACATTTCATCCTTACCAAGAAACCACAGTAGACAGATACCCAGCTTTGGGAGCGAGAGGCTTCCAAAGATGCCACCAAGTTTCCACAAGAAACAAATTTGGGTTTTTTGTTTGTTTGTTTGTTTTATTGTCCATCCAAGGCCAGAGAGGACCAATACCATGAAGATGCCTGTCAAGAAAGACCTGCCCTGCTGGTCGGTGGTGGCGCATGCCTTTAATCCCAGCACTCAGGAGGCAGAGGCAGCTGGATCTCTGTAAGTCTGAGACCAGCCTGGTCTACAGAGTGAGTTCCAGGACAGCCTCCAAAGCTACACAGGGGAAACCCTCTCTCAGAAAAGAAGAAGAAGAAGAAGAAGAAAAAAAAAAAGCACAATCCAGTTCAGACAAAGTTACCAGCGAATCTTTAGGTATAACTGGAAAACAGGGAACTGCATGGAGTACGGTTCCAGAAGGAACACAGTTCCAGATGACTTCAGAAGCAGACTCAAGTCAGACTACACTATGAGAGGTTTTGTGTGCACAGTAAACTTCTGATGTAGTTTACCCATGTCTCTGTCCACTAAAATGTGTCTTTTAACTCTGATCTCTACTCTCCAGATTTTTTTTTTTACTTTAACTCAGATACACATCTTCACTTAATTTACAAAGGCATTATGTCTGTGACTCGCTAACTATGATTTTCTATTTTTTCCATCTCCAGGGTTATATCCATCCATGTGTAAGCTTCCTGGCTTTTTCTTTTCTTTCTTTTTTTTAAACCTCTACTATTAGCCCAAATGCCATTTATTTCAAAGATGTTTAGGTCAGAATAAATCTAGTGTTAGGAGGCAAAGTTCATAAAACTTTAATTTCATTACATTTACTTTGTCGTTTTGCTTAGACTTGTGAAACTGACATCATCACACTTGTACATACATGCTAGACAGATATGTGAAACAACAATGACTCTGACTAGTTCATCTATCCCTTTAAAATAAATTGTGTGTGTATGTGTGTACACATGCAAGATCTGTGTGTCAAGTCACAGGAGTCACAACACACACGTGAAGGTCAGAGGATGACTTCCTGGACTAAGTTCTATCCCTCCACCTGTATGTGAGATTTAAGGGGTAAAATTAAGGCTTGCACATCGAGTGCTTTTATCCATTGAACCATCTCACTTGTCTACCTTTCTTTAATTTTCAGAGAGGTTCATTTCTTGTTCTAAATATGTCTACAAAGTAAAGAACTGAATAGAACCAATTTTGGTTCACTGGACTCTGGCTTATAATTTGGAGGAGATATTTAAATTCCTTTTGGTAAATCCCTTTGCACAAAAGTACTGCCACTTTGGAGCTGGAGTGGCCTAGAACTGACGGTTCTTGGGGTAGTGATTCATGTGTCTAAACAAGAAAAACACAGAGAGAACAACTCAGACCTAGCAAATGGGCAGTATCTGCTCAGGAAGTAACACTCATTTTACAGTTGTGTTTAGAGTGCATGATTGTCATCATCAGAGAGGCTTATCCCACAACTGATGGGAGCAGACGCAGAAAGACACAGCCAGCTTGGGAAATCCTGAGGAAGAGTCGGAGGAAGGATTGTAGCAGCCAGAGGGGTCGGTCAAGGACACCACAAGAACACAACCCACAGAATCAACTATGCAGGGCTCATAAGGGCTCACAGAGACTGAATTGACAATCATGGAGCCTGTAACGGTCTGATCTAGGTCCTCTGCATATATGGTATGGTTATGTAGCTTGGTGTTCTTGTGGGACTCCTAATAGTGGGTGTGGGGGTGTCTCTGACTCTTTTGCCTTTGAGAGCCTTTTCCTTCTACTGAGTTGCCTTGTCCAGGCTTAATGTGAAGAGATATTCCTAGTCTTATTGTAACTTGATATGCCATGTTTCCTTGATATCCCTGGGAGGCCTGACCTTTTCTGAAGGGAAAGGAGGAGGCGGCTGGGCGGTGGTTGTGCACATCTTTGATCCCAGCACTTGGGAGGCAGAGGTAGGTGGACTCTGAGTTCAAGGCCAACATGGTCTACAGAGTGAGTTCCAGGACAGGCTCCAAAGCTACAGAGAAACCCTGTTTGGGAGGGAGAGGGAGGAGAGAGGAGGAGGAGGGCAGCAGAGGGGAGGTGTGAGAAAGAGACTGGGAAGACAGGAAGGAGAGGAAACTGCAGACAGGATGTAATAATATATGAAAAAAAGAATAAAGAAAAAATGCATGATTGTAATTGTCACTCTACACTCATTCTGTGCCCAGTATTCGCCAGATATTGTGCTGCCTTGGCTGCTATTTTATTTTCACTCCTCACAGTGGCCTTGCTGGCAGCTGTAAACACCTGCATTTGCAGTTGGAGACACTGAGCCCACAGGAGTTTGACTAATGTATGCAATGAAGCAATGATCTAGGATGTGACCAAGTACTAGGGCACAAAGCCCTTTCTTGTCCTCCCCTGCCTTCTCGATTCTCACAGCAGTTGTATAGTTCCTATTAATACCCATCATTTATTTAATGCTTCTCAAAAAATTTTTGAGACAATCTCCAACTGACAGAAGAGCAACAAGTGCCACAAGACATTTTCCCCAACCACTGAAAAGTTGCCAGTAAATTTAGAATCACCACTCCAAAAACTCAAAATGTAATTCCTGCAGATACATTCCCTCACAGAGCTACAACACAGACATCAAACCAGGAAACAAACTTGACATATTTCTATAACCTAATCCTCAGGTTAAGCTCTGCCAGCGCTCCTCTAATCACAACTAATCCAATCCAAAATCCCACCTTATATTTGTCAGATCTGCTTTAATTTCTTTATTGGTTTATGCATGGATGTTCTGATTGCGTGTGTACCGTGTGCAGGCTTGGTGCCCCCTGGGGACTGGAGTTGAAGATGAGTGTGAGCAGGCATGTGGTTGCTGGGAATGGAACCCAGGTCTCCGGGAAGAGCAGCCAGTGTTGTTAGCTGCTGAGTCATCTCTCCTGCCCCTCTTTAATTTCTAACAATGTAGTGCAGTTCCTCCTCCCCACCCCACCCCTTCTCTCTGATGCCAGAAGCTGGTATTAGGTTTTGTGACTGCAATGGTTAGTTTCAGTTATCAACTTCAGACTGCCGGATCACCTGGGAAGGGTTTCAATGAAGGATTGTCACAGCCTAAAAGTGGGTGGCACTGTTCCTGGATTAGGGGGAAAATGAGCATGTTCCATACCCTCTCTGCCCTTGCCCATGGGATCGGTTTTAGGTTCCTTGAGCTCTGCAATGATGGACTGTGAGCTGAAAGAAAACCTTTCTGGCCTAAGGCGCTTTGGTCAAATACTTTATAGGAAGGGGATGAAAGCATCTCTCGATCCCTTTCCACTGAATCCCCCTGGCTGACTGAGCCATCTCCCTAGTGTCTCCACCCACCCCACACCTTTCTCCTTTCCTAACCCTCATCAACTTGTTCTGGAAGATTTGCTTGGTTTCCTCATGGTTAGACTGAAATGATATGTCTTCAGCAGGAATATCCCAGGGACGGTGCTGTGTTCTCACTGCATTCTGTCCGATTCTGGTGATCTAGCTCATCGTCTGTTCAAGTGGTATTTACTAGGTTCCTCTACTATAAAGTTAGCTTTAACTATTGTAACTATTTTCTGGAGAGAGCTCCTATGATAATGTAAGTTCTCCTCTAGGTATTTATATATTTATGTATAGGGGTTTCTACCTTATTCCATTATCATTGCTCTGTCATATTAGATGTCTTTCAAAATAAATAATAACCGAGAATCTAAATGGCCGGGTGTGCCAGCCTGCAAAAATGGCTGATAAAACAAGCAGAATGGCAGAAACTCCATGGCTGAGTAAAACTGAATTGGGATGTTGCAAGACTGAACCAGAGAAATAGAGCCTCATCAAATAAAACCTTTTAACAGTTACCTTCAAGATGCAATCTTAAAGGGCAAATTCTTTTACTTCCAATGTAAGCCACCTTCTTCCATGTAATGAGTGGAGTCTCTGTGAAGTTAGGAAAAGGTGATGATGTGCTTGGTCTGACAAGGGTGGCACACAGACGTGTGATGAGAAACTACCCAACACTTGTTAGAACATAGATTCCGAAATCCACTGCAATCTTGATGCTGGTGATGCTGAGTAGAGAGCATTGGGAGTGGATGGCAGCTCTCATCACTTACATAATGAAACCCAGTCTCATTGTCTTTTCTCTCCTCCCCACCCCAGCTGGAACAGACTACATTGGTGTCAGCCAAAATCTGCACTTTAGCCCAGGAGTAATCGTGCAGAGACTCCGAGTGACAATCCTTGATGACCTGTGTCAGCCTGCCTTTGAGGGTCCAGAGAAGTATGAATTACTTCTCCAGATGCCTACAGGTGCAGTGCTTGGAGAACCAAATAAAACCACTATTGTCATCAATGACGACATCACCAACTACCAAGCAAAGTGCTTGTAGTTCTTTGAAGAGACAAACAGTAGTCTAGATGTATATGAACCACAGAGTGAAGATGTACCATTCCAGAGCTTAGCAACTCTGGAGTAACAACGGTATTGTACTGTCACTGTTTTTGTGCAAATAGTTTATGTGACTACATGGAGATAGAAATATGTATACAAAGAAATGATTGAACCAATAAAAAAAAGTGTTACTTTTTCTGTTTCATTTGTTTCTAAGGCCAGTAAAACCCAGTGTCACCAATTAAATCAACTCTCTCTTTACCAGTTGACATTGGATGTCAAGGAACATAAGACACCTTCTCTCTCTTACACACACACACACACTTGTGCACACACAATACAAACATTTAGTTTAAAACTCTTCCTAGGTTACACTAGGCTATGTCAAGCTGATACAAACTAGCTAGCATATGAACCATCATTTAATTATCCAGAATCACTCAATGTTCAGCACCCTTCCTTTGTCTGATACATTATAGATTTGTAAATTTGAGCAGGAGCTGGGCAGAGGTGATACACGCCTTTAATCCCAGCATTTGGGAGGCAGAGGCAGGCGGATCTCTGTGGGCTCAAGGCCAGCCTGGACTACAAAGCTACACAGAGAAACCCTGTCTCAAAAAACCAAAAGAAAAAAAAAAAAAAAGAAAAAGAAAAAGAAAAAATTGAGCAGGAAAAATCAATTGTTACATCCATTCCATTTAAATGGAATACTATCCAATCATGGGTATACTGAATCGTTCTAAATGATGGCATCTCAACTTTAACATGCCTGTAACCCACAAACTTCTGAACAACCTGTGATTTACTTTTAAGGCTGTTGGAGACTGGTACCAGAGCCTATGCATGCCAACCACACTAGTGATTCTACACTCTCCTGCATTGCCATGGACAACCCTAGTGCCTAAAGAAACACAGCTCTAAAGTAGTTGGGCTTTTCATGACTTAAATGCTAACATTTAACAATTTAAAGATCAGGTACAATGGAGCGTGCCTGTAATCTCAGCCCTTGGTAGGTACAAGTTACAGACCTGCCTGGTCTATATACATAGAAGAAAAATTATCTGAAAAACATAACCTTCCTTCCTTCAATCTGTGTTCATGCACTGGTTTGCACCCAGGGTCACAGCTAGGGGAGGCTGAAGGAGAAGGCTCAAGATCAGCCTGGAAACACTGGTAGGCCTCCTGATAATGTTACAGCTTGGTGGTTCAGCATAGGAAAAGAAAAAAAAAGTAAAGCCTTACTGAGGATGTCTGCTCTTGATAATAATGGCACTAATAATGCTGCTGCTATGTGGCCATTAAGGTTTCATTTTCCTTTTATGAAATACTTTGAAACATTGCTTTTCCAATTCTACTACACACTGAAGATCTTGGTGCAGTAGTGATCCTGTTCAGCACTAGTCCCAAGTTTGCCTTTCTTACCAGCACCTAGATGAAAGTCTTAGAGTATGTCAGTGTAGGTCCAGAAGAAAGTGTCAAAATATCAAACTTGGGGTGACACTTCATCAACTCAACTTGTAGTGCTGAGTGATGCCTGGCTTCTTACCAGCGGATGGCTTCAGAAAAGACAAGCATGAAGACAGTAGAGCTCAACTGTTTTAGTTGCCAAGTTTCAGCGACTGTCTATCATTCCTCAATGCTGCCCAGATCTGTGGGAGGGCCCAGGCACCAGTATTTTAGATCCACATATACTGCAGTATTCATGCTGCAAGCTCCTTCCTTTAAAAGTCAGAGTAAACTATATTCCCGAAGCAAGTATACAGTTTTACCTGTAAATACCATGCTTTTCCATTTTCTAAACCTTGATTCTACTTACAGAGCTTATTACTGTAGAGAAACACTGAACAGGGGACTGTCAAGCACTAAGAGTTAGCAGCTTCTCAGAAATGGGAATTACAAATGTTCCCCAAACTGTTATTTTATCTGAACCTCTTACTACTCTGAGGACAACAGATCTCTAAAAGGAAAAAAGTTAACATATAACTAATTTTAAAATACTGTCAACATGGAACGTTAAACTATGCAATGGATTTTATTTGAAAGAACAGTTATTTAAAATACACTAACAAGGGCTGGAGAGATGGCTCAGAAGTTAAGAGCACTGGCTGCTCTTCCAGAGGTCCTGAGTTCAATTCCCAGCAACCACATGGTGGCTCACAACCATCTGTTATGAGATCTGGTGCCCTCTTCTGGCCTGCAGGCACACATGGAGGCAGAATGTTGTATATATAATAAATAAAATCTTAAAAAAATATATACTAACAAGCAGGGTCTCTGTAGCCCAGGCTGGCCTCAAATTCACCAGATTCCTGAGTGCTGGGATTATAAGTGTGCAGTATGACAGCCATTAAATTAAGCAAAGTTAAAATTTTATTACAATGTACTCTCAAGTAAAAGGATAGCAATAGATATTTTTACATTATTATTTTATGTCATTTTAAAATTAACGCTTATATTGCATTTCATTGCTAGCACAGTATTATTTTCCCAGTAATGCCATTCTTTATACTTCTGTGGGGAACAGACTGCTGGCGCTCTAGTTTTGCCTTGGGCACCACTACCACTGTACCAGTCTTCGGTGTGGCTTCCTGTTCTGTCTTCATCAATTCCTCTTTTAAGTCAGAGGGATAGTTCAGGGTTATAGCAGTCTTTCCTTCCTTCCAGAGGAGTGTGGGGTGCTATCCAAACGGGTCCTAGAGCAAACCTCCAGCACTGGTAAATCACAATGCTAAATTTGGCTAGTACCTTCCACAGTTTTTTTTAACTTATCTCAACAGATACATCATGCTCAGCGCTCTTCCACTATAGAGCACCTCCAAATTTCTCTTCACTTTCAAACCTCACGTTGTGACCTTTAATAGTTTTCTTCAATCTTTTTTTTTCAATCATTTCTTCCAAAATGAAACCACATCTAGTCTCAGTAGTAATCAACTTTGGGAAAGCAGAAAAAAAAAAAACTCAAATTACAAAACCCCGTAGTCCAAAAGCACGACACACACACCAGTAGCCCTACATTTAAGACAACCAGGCAATCACAGTACAGAAAGCAGACTTTTCAGGGATGTACGCAGAGGAAAACTAAGTTACAGAGGAAGAGATCTAAGAAAAACAGACTACCTCTTAAGGGAAAAAGGTTGAAGTTAAATAAGGAAGAACATTCAAAGAGATGGAAAGAAAAGACCACTTTAAGGGTTATAAAAGTTATATTTATTCACGATGCTACATTTATTGCATTCCCTTAGAAAAATGGAGAACTGCTTATGTACCCAATTTGCACATATAAAACTTTATACAAATGATGTGTAGCACATAAAGGCCTCTGGGTATTCCTGCTTCAGGGTCTCCAGTTAGCAAGTCTATTCCATAGAAAATAAAAACTGGAATTACACTCCATCTTGCTACTAAGACTTAGAAGTTATTTTAAAATATAATAAAATAAAATTTTCATTTACTCTAAAAACTCAAAAATACTATAAACTGAGAGGGTACATTCTATTAGTATTGTAACAATATGACAAGAGTCACACCTCATTATGGCTGGGTCATTCAAATTTAAAAGAAAAAAAAAAATCACCTTACTTCTGACATTATCTTTCTAAGTTGTGGCTGCTACAGGCCGTTTATCAAAATATTAACCAAATACTTTAAAAGAAAAAAATCCTGCTACAAAATACAACACCTTCAAGAACCAGAAAATACTGTCTTTGGCTATACTACTAAAAAGGTCACTCATCCAACGAACAGAGCACATTCACTTCAGAGCCCTAGGAACGCAAAGTGTAACAGAATATGCATAGACATCATTATAACTTGTTTTGCCTTTCCCCATTCTATAACCAGCAAGAATGAAATTTACACAAACTTTCTAGATGAGACTCAATAGTACTACAGGAAAAAAAAGAAGAAGAAGAAATCAAAGGCAGAGAATGTGAAGTAAAATTATTACAAAAGTAAGTGGAGACTTGAAGGGACAAATGGTCTTTGTATTTTTTTTTTTTACTTGTTTGCTTGTTTTAAAGCCATACAAGAGCTAATGTCGTAGCCAATAAAAAGCCACAATCTTCACAAATGAAACTAATAGAAAAATAAATCAAATGAAACATTTATTAATAAATGAAGCCTGTTTTATTACTTCAAGTGTTAATGATAAAAAAATTTCAGCACAGCTGTTGCATTTAAAAAAGTGAAACTACATCCTATGTTTCTAGCTCAGTAAGCAGATGGAGCTGATGTCTTTGAATGACATAACAGTTGAGCACTGTACAGCACATCTTATGAAGACCCGTAAATTAAAGAACTACTAGCTTAGTGATTATAAGACCAATATACGTTCATAGTTTCAGCTTCTTCTTTCTTCCTCGACCATCAGGGGCACCATCCATTTTACGTTTCTGTGTCTATAACAAACACAACAATTAGTTCTCATGACAAGATTCAACTAATATGGACATTAAATACATTTCCATACATGTTGCAGCACATTAGTGTAACAAACATGACCCGACAGTACACGACTTTTCTTCAGGGCTCCACAACCAATCTTTCAAACCACTATCAAATCTCCAAATATTTTACCATTATTAGTAACAAGATACCTGCTTCCTCCTGAATACATTCAAATTGTGAACACATTACTAAGACAGTGAATCAAAGCTCAGAAGACAACCATTGCACTTGTAAAGCTTTTGTTTTCCTAATATTCCTCAGTCTCCTAAACTAAGGAGAAGGTGTACTCTTGGCAATCAGAAAACATGTTTTTCCATATGTAGTGCATCAAATTCAGTTTCTATTTCCAGGTGACTCAATGTATTTATTACTCACAAAGAAAAAAGACAAACCTAACACAAGAAGTGCTGACAGTGCTCAAATACTTCACAGGGTAGTAGTGGTGGGTTTTCTGGAGAGATGGCTAGTGGGTAAACTGCTTGTTATGAAAGCATGTGGACCTGAGTTCTTAGCCACAAACCCCAGTGAAACCCAGACAACCCCATCAGATGAGGGTATGGGGGCTGGGGGCTGAGGAGCATAGAACAGATAGTCTAACCAAGATGGCAAGCTCCATCTTGTCTCAAAGAATAAGGTGGCACGTGATTGTCAACCTCTGCCTCACAAACTACTACCACACACACACATATTTGCATAACACACACACACACACACACACACCTACCTACCTACCTGCATCATTCACACAATCTATGTTTTATATTTTCATGAATACTTACTGAAGGCTTTGGTCCTCTTTTCTTTTTCTCTGCCTTCTCCTTTTCTTCTAGTTCCATATTTTCTCTTTCAATCAAAGTAATTAAGGTATTGCACCTCCTCTGGAGCTCCTAAATTGTAAACATACACAGTAAATTTGTTATTTCAAACTACATTTTTTTAAAAAGATTTTATTATGTATATAACATTCTGCTTCCATGTATATCTGCACACCAGAAGAGGGCACCAGGTCTCATTACAGATGTTTGTGAGCCACCATGTGGTTGCTGGGAGCTGGGAATTGAACTCAGGACCTCTGGAAGAGCAGCCAGTGCTCTTAACCTCTGAGCCATCTCTCCAGCCCCCAAACTACATATTGTCAGGACTTCAATGTCTAAATAGAGATGTTTTAACAAATATAAAAATCACCCATACAGGACCGGGCATTGGTGGCACATGCCTTTAATCCCAGTACTAGGGAGGCAGAGGCAGG